CCAAAAATGATTATGGACTTAGTTCTATCTGCAGTGTTTTGTACCAGTTTACTGTTGGTAACCAGTTCTTTCCTAATTGCTTGCCTAATTTCTGCTTCTTGTTGGTCATTTCTGGTTTTGACTTCCGAACACACTTCTTTGATAGTCTCTTTCTCTTTTACAACTTCAGCATATGTCGCTTTTATTTCTTCTTTATACTTTTCTAGTTCTTTATTCACCTCCTCTATGTGAGTTGTCAGTGAAGTTTCCAGTTGGAGATCCTTACCTAACTCTATGTTAGCCCTTAGGCTTGCTTGGAGTTGTTCACCATATGAGTCTATCTTCTTGTTTATTTCTTCAAAGTCACCACACTTCACTTTCCATGCCTCATTTTCTTTCACTAGTTCCTTGATTTGCTCCTCCTGATTTGTTACCTTGTCTGTTAATGCAGTAATAATCTTACCTTGTTGAAGCATACTCCCTTTTAGAGTGCAAAGCTCACTCCAAAGAGCTCCATTGTCCTCTTCTAATTTAAGCACTTTTTCTTCATACTTCTTTTGCATGTCCTCAATTATCTCTAACCTGCCAAGAACACTTCCTTTCCTTATATCTTGTGTTGAGAATCCTTTGAAACCATCATCTGATGGTGAGTCTACCTTCTCAGTGGGGGTGGTGGCGGCGGCCATCTTTGATTTTGTTCTAGACCAAAACAAACTTTTCCACTCGGCTATTTTCACTCAGTTTTGCTTGTTTATTGTATTTTATTTGCTTTTACTCTTCCCTGAACCTTTATGCAACCCGGGACACCACTGTAGCCCTCAACCTGTTCCCAATACTTAGGTAATTCGATATTTCCAGGAGCTTGCTGCTTGCTGCAGAGCACACACACACACTGTGTGTGTGTGCTCATGTGTATACACACATGTGTGTAACATATCTTGTGTGTTTGTGTATATGTATGTGTATATACATAATGTGTATATGTGTGTGTACTTTTTCTTTCGGAAGGGGTTCTGTTCCCTTCTCTGTTGACGGGGCGCTGGGGGAGCAGCTTGCTCTGTTGACTCTCGCATGGTCCCACTGTTGGTGGGCGCTTTTGGTTGTCTTCCGGCCTCTAGTGGCGTCGGTGGACGGCTTCTCCCCCTTTGGGGGGGGTTCAGAGCTGGTGGGGTGGGCTTCTTCTCCTGCGCTTCGTCATGTCATCTTAGTGGGTGCGCTGGACGTGGTCCAACGCACCCACCTTCTGGGGTTCCCGTCTGCTCTTTGCAGTCATGGGCCTTTCGCATCTGCAGTCCTTCTGGACTTCTTCAGTCTGCGGCCAACGGCCATACCACGTTGAGAACACCGCTTCTCATCTGATCAGTGAAGTTAAGCAACACCCTGGATTCTATGCCCTCCTCGGAGGACTGTTGTCTCCTGTCCGGCTTCTGTTGGGGCCGGGTGCCTAGATGGTGGCCCTGGACCTCCAGGTCACTTCTTGGTACGTTCCTCTCCAGTTTTCTTGGACTGGCACAGTTGGTGGTGGGGCTTCAGGCTTGCTTCTTTTGTTGCCTTCCCTATTTTGTAATGGGCACTTGGTATATATATATTTTTTTGTTCTTTTTTTTTTTGCATCTTTACCGGATCTTAGGCCCTGTCTGAGTCTGAGATATGATGTCTGGCCTACCTCGACGACTGGCTGGTGTGGGCTCCCAGTCAGTCCGCTTGTCTGCTCGCCAGGGGTGTGGTTCTTTCCAGATCTCCGGGTTTGGTTTCCTGGTGATCTGCAGGTCTTTCCATCTGTTTCCGTCCCGGGTTCGGACCTGGGCCTTGTTTAGGGCTATTGGGCCACTCATTGTCTTTCCCTCCAGAAGTGTTACTGAGGCTGTGGTCCCGCCTTCGGCTGTACATGAGGGGGTCCCGGGTTGCTCAGCGGTTGCTTGAGCAGTTGTGTGGGAGTCTGAACTTCGACGTGCTGGTCTGCCCGCGGAGTCGGGTTTGGCTTCGGCGTCTGTTTGGTTCGTTCGGAGACTCCCCTTCCGCCTCTTGCATTCATTGGGTTCTTTCCTCCGGGGATCTTGTGTTGGTGCTGCGTCACCAGCTTCTTCCTTGGGGTTTTCGGGGTTCCGTGCCTTGGAACCTCCTCGAGCCTTCGCTCGATGTGTTCACAGACGGGTCATCTCTCGGCTGGGGCTTTGTGACCAGTGCTCACCAGGTCGGCCGAGGTTGGTGGAGTCTGTCCGTCCGTCGGGCTCACAGCACGGTTCGGGAGTTCATGGCTGTCTGGTTTGCGCTTCGGAGGGTTTGGGTCACTCGCTGCTCTTCCATTCAGCTCCGTTCGGACTGTTCTCTGGCAGTTCTTGCCGGTACCACAGGGGTTTGGCTAACCGTGAGGTTCATGTCCGGGGTGTGTCCTACGTCCTGCCAGACAGCTGTCTCGGTTCATTCCTCTCTTCGCAGATTGGCCAGTCGTCGCCGACTCGTTTTGTTGGCTCTGTCGGACGTATGGACTCCTGGCCTTGGATGTCTTCGAGTTGGCGTGGTCTAGGCATCGCCCGTTTTATGTGGCGCCCTTTCCCACCTGCGAGGCATTCACAGTGGATGCTTTTCGACAGGACTGGTCGAGGTGGGGGTACCTGTTCCTCTTCTCCCAGTCCAGCTGTTGCTTCGGGTTCTGGCTCGGTTGCAGCCCATTCCCACGAGAGCAGTCCTTATGGTTCCTTGGTAGCCGGCCCAGCCTTATTTTCAGACGCTGCTTGATAGGTGTCCGAACCCGGGGCGTTTTCCCACGGCTCTGCCTCTTTCGGCAGGTCGAATCGGTCCGGTATGTGACTGGTTCGGCTTTCTCCTCGGCTCTTCGCGTCTGGTATTTTGATGCGGGTATCACCATCTCTGTGGTGTTCAGGTGGTTTTATTGACGGTGTCCCACCAGTGAGCTTCGTCTTGGTGACAGTATGACGTTTCGTATGCTTTCTCGTGTTTTGTTTCACCTCCGGCCTGCTCATGCGTCGCCTGAGCCATCCTGGTCCTTGATCAGGGTGCCGCCTTCTCCTCAGTTTGTGGTAGCCCCTTCGGTTCAGGTTTCTGCTCTTTGGTACTGGTGGTAGATTTGTAAGTGTGCAGCCTTTCTCCGTCCTGGCGACGGTCGAGACGGCTGCTTTCCGGAGGGGTTCTTGGGCTATTGATGCTTGATTGGTTTGGCCGGGGGTGTGTCCTGTGTTGTCCAGTTGTGCTTTTTGCCGTTGCCTGCGTACCGTGTCTGGGGATGCGCTGTGGTTGATCCGGTTCCCCTCGTCCCCTGTTTTCTGGGCTCGGGTCTTCCAGGTCGTCCTCAGAGTTTTTCATTCTTCCAGCCTGTGGTCTGTCTTTGCGCCCGTGCCGTTCAGATGTTTGCAGCTTTTGCTGCTTTGTTGGCAACGTCTAGGGCTCATTTCCGGCGCAGGGACTTGAGTGTCATACAGGTTCTTGGCCGCCCATTCTTTATGTGCGTCTACTCCTGTGCGTTCTTGTTGCCTTGGGTCGCAGGTTGCGACCTGTTGTCTCAGCTTTGCGTTGCAGAGTTTATGGCGGCCGCCTCCTGGGTTAACCCTTTCTTTTCCTTCTCTTTGGGTATGAAGCTCCAGGGAGCCATAGGGGCTCCCCACAGAAAGCCAGTGTTGAATGTAATGAAACGCTATCGACGTCTTTTTCGCGTTGGTTGATGCTTAGCTTCCGAACTGAAGCTTGGCAGCCGGCGCGGTAGGTCCGGGGCTCCCCGCTCCCCCTCTCGGGGCGGGAAGGGCTGCACGGACGATCGGCGCGGCACTAAAGTGTGATGTTTGCTTGTGATTGTAGGGAGTTTCTACCTCTCTGTTCGGTTTTATTTTAGTTTTTTACCATGTGGGGTTTGTTTTGTTATGCCTACCTTTCTGGGTGCCTAACCCCGGTCGATGGCAGATAAGGAAAACCCCAACCACAAAGGGGGTTTTCCAGGGCCATTGCTCCCTGAAATCTCTCTGAAGGGGCCAGGTTCTGGCACTGGTCCCTTGTAGGTCTGAACTCCTTAGCTAATGTCCCGGTCTAATAAAACATACATTAGCCCGATAAGCTCCAGGGAGCCTCCGGGGCTCACTCAGAAAATGGCGTTTCATTACATTCAACGCTGGTTTTATTTAGAGCCCCCTTTATAACATATATACAGGTCCTGAACTAGCTTACTCAGTCAAATGATGTAAAATAGCTGTAAATAAAGTTAATTGCTGACATAGCAAGGATATTTGTAGTCAGGATACAGTATATGTCTTAAGGATAGGGAAGGTAGTGGCAGAGTGGCGACATCCAATACTGTACATGCAGTAGAAATATCTTTGATTTAAAATAAATGCATGAGTTTCACATTGTTTGACGGGAAGTATGATAGGTTTATAATGGTCTCCAGCCATCAACTATCTTCCAGGATGCAAACACACAACAGTCAAATAATTCCTAGATACTGAACAAATCCACAAGGGCCGTGTTGAGCGTTCGAACTTACGCCTGGGATGATCCTCAGACTCTGCCTTAGTCGACTAGGCCACGACATGATTTGTTCATTTGATGCATCACACTATTGTGATTTCTGTGTGTATTAAAGTGAGGGCGTAGAGGTAATTCTTTTGACCATGTCGTGACCTATCGACTAAGGCAGCGTCTGGGATCATCCCGGGCGTAAGTTCGAACCCTCATCACGGTCCTTGTTGATTTGTTCATTTGATGCATCACCCTATTGTGATTTCTGTGTGTATCCTAAATACTGTATCAATTTACTGTTAGATGAATGGATGTTCAGGTGCATAGAAATGTGCTCAAATGTTTCTTGCCTGGGAATGGAATCCAGGACCACTAGGTTGGGAGCTAACTTGATTAAACATTTGGTTAACATGTGTTAAATAAAAAGAAAGAGATGCAGTGTGAATTGCTTGTAGATGAGGTTGAATGTAATAGTCTATTAGATAATCTCTTCATATTTATTAAATTTATTGCTGAAAATGTGTTAGTTATTGGTAAACTTGTCTTACTTTCAGGCACTCCAAAAGACATGTGCTTTTAAAGTTTGCATATCTTGGCTGGGACTACCAGGGTTTTGCTGTTCAAGAAGACACTCAACAAACTATTGAGAACCAGTTGTTTTCAGCTCTTCTCAAGACACGAATGATAGAATCAAGAGAAACTTCAAATTACCACAGGTAAAATCTTTGATAATTGATATAAACATGAGCATTGCATGTGTTTTGAATATAAAGTGAATAAATATTTGATGATAGAAACAAGTGGTATTAAAATGTCCTCAAATATATGTACAGCTGAGCCTTAGTGTCTGAGGATTATGTTCCTTAAAACCATTGCACTGAGCAAATTTGTGGATCAAACTTTTTTTTATATAGTTGAAATTTGGATTACATTTCACAAATTTAAACAAAATCTATCATTTGAGCTATCTCATTTGGCTGTTTCTTAAAGTAAGATCAGCTGTGTCCAAAAGGCAGACAGGCTGGAAGACAGTCTGGCATTAGCACTATAGTAATTTTAAAGCATTACCTACAGGGTCATTATTGTGCTTTGGGGTCAAGAGATAAGGCTATCCAACCAAGGCTGATTAACAGACGACTATTCATACAAACTTGAAGCCTTACCAAACCCGCTCTTGGCTACCTGCATTGACTACCACCAGGTGGCTGCTCCACTCTCACCTCTGACCCAAGCAACCTCACATTTTTCCTGACTGTCACATGCCATTCAGCAAGTGGGAGCGGGGTTTCCAGTTAAATTTAACTTGTTTGCTTCTGTGAAGCTTAGTTTATGGTGTGCAGCGAGATATGCCTCTGTGAACTGCTTAATGGTTTTTGTATCCCTCTTTATAAACCATTGAGCATCCCTGATACATTTGTGGTTTGCTCTCTCACTTCAGTAACTGTTGTGCACAACAGTGGAGTTTAGACCAGGCACTTCAGTTATTGTAGTCACAGAAATCTTTAGCTTTTCTTTGAGCTGAAAGCCTTAGGTAAGTTATCACATGAGTACTCACTCATTGGCATCTTGAATTGTTCCTCATCCTTCAATCGGGTGTGGAGGTCATAATGTGTCTTGTCTTTGAACTTTTGAACTCAGAGTTTGTGTACCAGTGCTTGTGGAGCAGGGTAAAACACCTTGGATACATGAAAAACTCTACTTAAAGCAGCATAAATGCTTTTGATTTTTTCAGACTGGCATTTTCATTCAGATTCTAAGCTAGAACAGTGCAGCACACTGCCAGCATACATGTTTTTGCTTGGGTAACATAATATAGAACTTTTCTGTGGAGAGCCCCTTCGGCTCCCTGGAGCTTTACCGGGCTGATGTATATATATTAGACCATGGCAACAGTCAATCGATGGAGTTCTAAGCTTAACGGGGACCAGCACTAGAACCTGGCCCCCCTCAAGAGAGGCATGAGGAGCAATGGCCTATAGACACCCCCCATATAATTGGAAGCAGTCTATGTCTGCCATCTACCTGGTTAGGCACCCAGAAAGGTAGGAATTCCAAAACAAACTACAGCTGGGTAAAAAATTGCAAACCGAAAGCCGAACTAGCAAACAGAACTCTCCAAATAAAAACAAGCAAACAAGCATGACATCACCTCAGTCACCGCACCGCTATCTGCATAACTCCCTCCTTCACGGGAGGGGAAAGGGGGTGTCCTAGACCTCCCGTGCCAGCTAGCCAACCTCAGTTCATGAGGCTGTTGTATTGGCAACGGTCGATCAACTCTGGCTCCATCCTTTGAGCAGTGCTGTATAGCGGTGTTGTTGTTCTGTGTTGGTGATGTGCGAGCCAGGAGTAACATAAGAGTACTGGGGCTGCATGCACCTAGGGCTGCCTTCCATAGGGGCCATGTAAGTACTACCCTTGCGGCTTAGGGTTAACTTTCATGAGCCATTCGGGAGAGGCTACCTCTGAGTGGTTCTGTTGCTGCTCGGTGATTGACCACTTGGGGTTTACCTGAGGTGGTTCTTACTTCAGTTTGGCTTTGGGTAGGAGGTAGCATCGTTGCTGGCTGGGGTGCAAGGTACTGTGCAGCTGTCTGATATTCACATAGCGGCCAGTTTTGTTCCCCCCGGAGACGTTGTGCTTTTGCTGGGTTTTTCCTTTTTCGTTTTGTTTTGCCTGGTGGGGGTCAGCCTGGAGTGGCTGTAGGACCACTTGTATAGTTTTGGTGGCCCTCCGCCAGGTCCCCGTGCTTGCACATGTCGCAAGGATTCAGCTTTTAGTTTGTTTGCTTGGTAGTTCTGGGATAACCGATTAGCAGTATCTTGCCTGGGCTTCCCTTAGCAGTCAGCCTTAGGGCCCCCTGGGAACCCCCATTGGGGCTCATTGATCCGATGGAGTCCCACCTCCGAGTCCCATCTCGCTTTGTGTGAGTTTGAAGGTTGCTCTGTCCCCTTGTCTCAGGGTGACACTCACCATTTTTGCCTCTGCCATACTGCCTATAGGGTCTTCTGCTTGCGTTTGGGGTGGATGTCACTTCTGCTTTGTTCCGTAAGCTTTCTCGTGTGTTGTTTTACCTCCCAGCCTGCTTATGCACCACCTGAGCCATCCCTGGTCTTTAGACCAGGTGCTCTCTTTTCTCTTTCCTCGGTTTGTGGTGGCCCCTTTGGTTCAGGACTGTTTTTCTGAAACTTTTTCTTGGGATTATCCTCTTGTGGTTGGGTCGCGGAGCTTCATGCTCTCCTTCAGCGCAGGGGCTTTTACTCTTTCGGTCCTGGTGGTCGGTTTGTTCATTTGTAGCCCTCTCCTTTTCTGGCGAAGAATGAGACTGCTACTTTCCAGAGGGGTCCTTGGGTTGTTGATGCTTGGTTAGTTCGGCCGGGGAGCATCGTGTTTTGTGTACGGGTTGCGGCTCTTCGGCGTTACTTGCGTGCCACAGCCTCTGTGGCAGGGGACACGCGTTGGGTTAACTCGGTTTCCCTTCTTTCCTGTTTCAGGGCGCGGGTCTCCCAGGTTGTCCGCAGGATTATTTAGTCCAGCCTGCCTGGCTGCTGTTTCTGGGGGAGCCCCTACAGCTTCCCGGAGCTATCCAGGCTGATAAGGAAATCGATAACTTTGGCATCAGTCGATGTAGGTGTAGTTCTAGGGCTACCAGGGACCATGAGCCAGAACCTGGCTCCTTTAGAGAGGCACGAGGAGCAATGGCCTATAGATATGCGCATGTGATTTGTAGAGCATTCTATATCTGCCATCGACCGGGACAGGCACCCAGAAAGGTAAGCGCCCCAAAACAAACCCCCTATTCTGGTGAAAATGACTAAAATAGACAAACGAGTGAACAGAACTCCCCAAATGAAAACGAACAAACGAGCATGACTTCACACGAGCCATGCTGCATGTCTGCACAGCTCCCCCTCCCCAGGATGGGGAAGGGGGAGCCCTAGACCCCTGTGCCGGAGATCCACACCCCACTTCTTCGGCTGATGGGATACGGCATGGGCATGTGGTTCCTGCTCCGGACTCTTGTGCTGTGCTGTCCTTGTCTCAATGCTGCACTTACGGTGGCGTGCAAGCTGGGAGTAATATTCCAAGTTACTCGGGCAGCATGTGCTTAGGGTCACCTTCCCTGAGTGCCCTATAAGTACCGCCCTATGGGCTTGGGGTTCTCTTCCACAAGTCACCTACCTTTGTTGGTTTTTTGCTGCTTGGCGATTGACCACCTAGAGAGTTTTGGGGGTTTCCACCCTTGTTTGCCTTGGGGTAAGTGATAGTTCTTCACTGGTAGGGGCACGGGGTACTGCACAGCTAGTTTTCACCTATAGCAGCAGCCAGCTTTGTTCCCTTTGGGTACGTTGTCCTCTTGCGAGATTTTTATTTTATTTTTGTTTTTGCTTGGGGGAGGTCTGCCTCAGTGTTACTTCCCCACTGTATACTAGAGGTTGCTTTTGTTTGGTGGTACCCTCTGCTACTCCCTGGTGAGTGGACATGTCCCGGGGGTTCAGCTTTAGCAGTGTTGTTTGGCAGCTTGGGTACCAGTTAGCAGTACCCTGCCTGGGATTACCCTTAGCAGACCCAGTCTAGGGACCCTGGGAAACCCCGAGGGGGTGCTCTGCTTCGATGGATGCGACTCCTGGGTCCCCTCTCGCTGTATGCGAGTTTGAGGGTTGCTCTGTCCCCTTGTCTCAGGACAACACTCAATGTTTTTGCCTCCATCATGCTGCCTGTTGGGTCGATGGCACCTTCGACCCTGAGTCCCGCGAGTTTTGTTGCTTGTTTGTGACTCGGTTCACCCAATCTGATGATGACATTATTCAGGTGCAGGCGGCTCGTGCATTGCAGGATAGGTTTAGGTTGTTGCGACTTGCTCAGTTGGTTGCTTCCTTGGATGCCCCCGAGACTGCCCTGTTTTGCTTATAGGGACCCAACTTAGTGGTGTTGGTAGCTTTGGCCTTGGCTCCGTTCGTGCCCCTCATTCTTCTCCTGCTGTGGTTCATTCGGTCCCCCTCCTCTCCCCTGCTTCCAGCTCCTAAGCGGCTGAGGGGCTTCGGGGTCAGATCAGAGTTTAGAGGTTTCTGGGACTCGGGCAGTTTTTGGGGTTGGCTCTTTTGGGGAGGGGGCGGCGGAGGCATTCGAGTCTGTTCCTCCAGTCGTAGCTATGGGATCTGACCAGTGGGTCCAATCTCTTCCTGCTCTTTTGGCCGCCCTGGCCTTTTCTTGTGAGGCTGGGGCTTTGAAGGGCGACTCGTCTCCGGGGCCTGACATAAAGGTTCCCGGGGTTGGGGAGGAGCTGGCTTGGGGGCCTTGCGCCCTGTTGGACCTCACCTGGGTTTTCCGACCCTCCGAGTGGGGCTTATTGTTACAAGGAGTGGGGTCCCCCCCCCCCCTCCCTCTGTGTATGAGTTGGATTTGAGTTCAGCTCTTTCCCGGGTTCGGTTCTGTGTTGCTGCGGGTCCTTCGGTTCCACGTTTCCAGAGGTTTTCGGCTTCCCGCGTCTCACCTACTGAAATGTGGGCAGCCATTGCGGCTTAACTTCTGCACGACCCGGAGTACTCCTCTATAATGGATCCGTCTTCTTTCAGGTTTGGATCTTCGTCTCCATACTGGGTTCGTTATGCTGTTCCGGTTGATTCTGGTTTGCGGACTGCCCTTTGTTCTCGCTGGATGCTTGGGAAACCTTCTGTTGTACCCGCATGCTTGTGTGGCACGAGACGTTTACTGT